TTCTACCGCATGCTCGACTCACTACTTGATACCGTCTCACTGTCGCAATGTACCGTTCTTTGTCCACCATTTGCAATAAGGAGTTGTTGATTCAGTTTGGCTGGCAAATGCGCGACAAGCATCCGCAGCGATGCGACAATATCGAGAGAAGATGCAATAGACCCGGCGGCGAGGTGCTTGACCGGGCCCCTTCATCAAGCTGCCCTGACCGGAGGATTCAGTCGAGTCAGCGTGCTCCTCGGGCTTCCCTGGATCGCGCTGACCTGTGGCCAAGCGCGGAGAGGGTTGGGTCAGGCCGAGGGTGCATCATCCGGCAGGGCAGGGAGAGGCCCAAGTGGGAGAGTGTGCCGAGTCCGGTGGGGCGAGTGGGGTTTCAGTCAATTTCCGCTCCGGCTGACCCGAAGCCTCCCACATGTTGGACCGTGGGTGCCCGCCCGCGCTTCCGAGGTCGCCCCGCATTTTGCAGGGTTCGGGCCGCCCGCCCACCCTTCAGTCGCCTCGCGTGGGATTCGCACCCTCGCAAAGAGGCTCCACTGGAGTGGAGCGGGTGTGAGCAAGCAGGGCCAGATCCGATGAACCGGCTGGCATGCTACCGCACGGTGTTGTATGGCCAAGTCGTGCCTGCTGAGCGTCTCATCGAGCCCACCATCAAAACGTGAAACTTAGTCGACCCTAGCAATTCCGACACTGGCATCACCGTCGTCGAGCCTTCTGCCGTCCTCTAGCTTCCTTACCACATCAGCCTCTCTGCTGCCAATTCCCGTTCAAGAAAGGCCATATCAGCATTCGCCTCAACAACGCATTGCTGCCCGCTCGTCACGACAATGCCAGGAGAGGGACCGAGCTCGAGCTACCTTTGACCAGAACACGCTCCACTGCCCACAGTCGCGCCGGCACATCCGACCCGAACCATTCAACGGGTTTGATCCGCGCACCAGCACATTTGCATCGGATCGCAAGATGCGCTTCACCTGCACGCACTGCGGCAAGGCTTACGCCCGCACAGAGCATCTCAAGCGTCACATTCAGTCGACGCACCAGTCGGACCGCGCCGACGAGGCACCGCGCATCTACCCCTGCGACGCCCCTGGCTGCGAAAAGACGTTTCGCCGCAGCGACGTGCTCGCCCGGCACAAGCGGGGCCATGCCTCGAGCGAGGATGCAGCGCCCAATTCCACCAAAAGGATCAAGCGTTCGTCCACTTCGTCTCCGTCCGATTTCGCGCATCCCAGCACTTCCTCCCGAGCGTCGATCCTCCATTCGGCAGCGCAAAGGGTCAATGATCCCTCGAACTCCCACGATGGACTGCACAGCATGATGGGCTATCCTCAAGCTGGCCCCTCCTTCTCACCCAGCCATGCGTCCCGTCACTCTTTGAGCGAAGCCTCACCTGCTGGACCCACCCCACCAGAAGCGACAAACCCGGTACAATCCCTCGTCGGCACACTTCCGAATCATGTCCTGTCGGGAAGCGCCTACGCTCACTCGCACGCCAGCGCGCTTCCCACGCAGCCGACGATGGGCGATTCTTTCCGTCCGCAGCACACGGGTCAGCCGCTCACAACCAGGGCCCTGCAGGAACAGCAACAACTCGCCAGTCTCGAGTACTCTCTATCGCGATCCGCAGACGCACACACAAACGCAAACGGCAAAGGCAACGGCGGCACTGCCGATGCTTCGCAAGCGCTTCCTATGCGAAGTCACACCGAGACCAACTTTGCCATGCAAGCCATTCCGGGCATGCCGAACGCATACCCCGAATTTCCCGCCTCGCCTCGTCCGAGTCTCGCGCCAGCCCGCCCTCGGCCACCGGCCGATTTCGGCTTCTCCTTCGACGAGTGGGATCCTCAACTCTTCGATCAGGAGCAGAACGCCGGAGATGCCGCTGGCATTCCGCGCCTCGGTTGGGACTCGCTCAATTACAAGAATCTCACCGGCCTCGACTGGATCTTCGAAGATGGCGCCGCCAGTTTGACAGACGCTTCCGTCTTTTCGGGTGTGCTGCCGTCCTCTTTCGACGACGAGCTCGCCGCACTCGAGGATTTCGGGCCTCAACCGCCCGATTCCCTCTCGCGAGCCACCGAAAAGATCTTCGAGAGAGCAAAGGGTCCAGAGGGCGCCTCCGATCCATTCGAATCGCTCAACCTCATCAATCTCGCCAACACAGCCATCGACCAAGCCAGCGGCAACAACAACTCTGCTCTTGCCAACGGCGGACGTACGGCTCGCAATCCGGACGACGACGGAGAATGGCCGCAAGATTACCGTCCCACGCGACGGCAGCCACCAACGTTCGACATCTCCGACTTGGTCCTTGCCGTCGAGATGAACGATGAGGCACAAGACGACTCCGCATCAAGAAACGCAAGGACCAGCGAGCCTTATTCGGAACCCGTCTCCAGCAGACACATCCCCTTCGTCCTGATCGAAGAATCCTTGGAGGACAGTGCCGACGGACGTCGCACGACAAGCCGCAACTCGCCCATCCAAAAAGCAGCTCCGACCAAGCCGTTTGGATCGACCGGAAAGATCACCGAAACTGCCCGCCAGCACCTGCTCGAATACATCCGTCACTCCTGCAAGCATCCATGGTCAGTGTATTCTTTCAATGGCAACGCCGACAAGTTCCTCACCTGCTCCGAGATCGAGATCCTCGTATCGCTCTACTTCCGCAAGGTGCATCCATATACGCCAATCCTGCATCAGCCTTCCTTCGATCCAGAGACCACCAGCCCTGTGCTCCTCCTCATCATGGTGACCAAAGGCCTCGTCTTTTACGTATCCGAGATGCAGGCCCGCGGTGCCCGTAGCGCAAGCCTCGCACGGCTTCATAAGCGCGCCAGCATCCTTGCTCCCGCCTTGTCCGAGCTCACCCGCATCGGTACCATGAGCGCCTACGAGGCCGACCAGCGCGGATTCCAGGACATCGTCATCAACTCGGCCTGGCTGCTTCAGCAACAATTCGGTATCGGGGCGGGTAACAAGCGTCTCTACAAGCTGGCAGAGCGCAATCGTGGTGGCATCATGACGGCCATCCGCCGCATCGGACTGCTCAACATGTCCACCATCCGCCTCGACACCACCGATCAGCCGCTGGACACGATCGATGATCAGAAGCTCGAGCGGAAATGGCGCGCCTGGATCGAGCGCGAAAGTCGCATCCGCCTCGGCTGGTGCGTCTTTCTGTACGATCAACTATACAGCCTCTACATGGACATCTCGCCCGTCCTCCTCTATACCGAGATCACCTCACCTTTCCCCTGCGACGAGCAGCTCTGGAACGCACGCTCGGCACGGGAGTGGTTCTCGCGCATCCCGCAACACTCTCAGGCCACACCCAAAACCTCATTTATCGATGCGCTCAGGAAGCTACTCGATCCACCGCGGCACGAAGACATCCCCCTCCGTCTCAACCGTTTTGAGGCCTACATTCTCGCTGTCACCCTTTATCGCATTCGTTGGGACACTAGCAAGCGCTCAGTCCTTTTTGGCATGGAGGCTTTCGCTCACGCTGAAGAGGTCACGCTGGGCGAGAACCACGTGGTTGATGCAGCTTCAGGCACCGTAGCCATCGACGCCGCTGCTGCAAATGCGCTCCAAGGCCTCGCCGAGGCAGCAGCTTCTGCCACGCTCTCGCTCACTTCGAAGAGTCCCGCCAAACGGTCCAAGCCGACTGCCAATCCTCCCAATCTGGCTCTGAGCGTTGACGTCCAGCTTCTGCGATTGCTCTCCAGGATGCACTTTAGCGGTCCGCCCGCCTTCTTTGACCGTCTCAAAGACGCTGCGGGAAGAGCCGGAAACGCCAGGCGCGCCGATGCCGTGGTGGAGTTGAAGCGCTGGGTGGCCGATCCAAAGAACCACGTTGCGATGCGTCAAATGCTGCTGGCATCCGCACAGGTCTATGACCTCATCCGCACCTCCTTGGACGCAGCCGCAGCCAATTCGAACGTAATGGTGCTGCAGAGCCATGTCGGCATTGTCGGTCTCTTCCACTCGGCACTCATCGTGTGGGCGTACGTCAAATTCGGTCCCATTGCCCAGCGCAGGCTCCCCGTGCATGGCACTCTTGGACATGCTTTGAACGCAGAGGGCCCGACATCGACTCTCAACGGCAAGGGCGATGAGGTGATCCGGGCCAGCAAATCGCAGCTGGAAGCGCTGCCCTACCTCTCGCCAGCCGCACTGCGGCTCGTCGAAGAAGCCGGATTCATCGATCTGATAGCAGCGAGCGGGGAGGTGACCAAGAGCGCCGACGGCACCGAAGACTGGCAAGAGCGCGCGAGCGACAGCACAAACGAGTCCGGCTCGCTCTCTGTGGGGACTTGTGCGTCGGACTCGAGCACAATCTCGCGTGTTGTGGAAGCCTGGTCGCTCGGCGCCTATCGATCCACCGTCGACGGCCAGCCTCGTCGCTGGTCCGCAGCCAACAACCTCGTGGTCCGCATCGCGGGCATTGGCGAGCTCAAAGCAGGCGACGGAGTGGGCATTTACAAGCAAGGCATGCAGAATGGAGGCGCTAGCACCCACCAGACAGCTTCGCGGAACTCGTACGACGAAGACTTGCGAGAGCGAACGTCGGAGGAAGAGGGCGAGAGGCGCAACATCGACAAGTCGATCTCTTCCACACGACCTGTCCCGCCGCAGATGAACGGCGCGTTCACTCCACGCGGGCACGAGGGCCTACCACCAGGCACGCCCACCGTTAATCTCGACGAAGGGCAGGAGATGAAGACGTCGCGCATCCTCATCCGGTTTGCAACGCTGCTTCGCAAGCTCGACTGGGGTCTGGCTGCGTCGTTCCGAACAATTCTCATCCACATGGCGCGCCACGAAGCGCGGGCAGTCGAGGCTGCCGAGGCGCTGCCAGAGGCCAATGGCGAGTCAAGACAAATGGCCAGCTGATCCTACCCAACTGCTGTACTTTGGCCACGCGCGATTTCTATATACCAGACGGAAAGCAATCGTATGTCATTTGCGATCAGGTCGTTGACATGTTTGAATCAACGCAGGTTGGATGCCAGAGCAATCTCATCAAGCTTGTCATCGGACTTCGAGCGGCTGTTGTCGAGAGCCGAGAAGAGTTCGGCACCGGCGGCGAGTGCATCGATGAACAGCGGAAGGCGGGTACCACCATCTGCGCCGAGGGTGGGTTCGCGCTGTGGATTCGCGCGAGAAGGGAAACAAAAGGATTAGTGACTGTGTTAGGAGAGAGGCACGGAGGAACATGGCTGTGCTTACGGTACGAATAGCATCGAGTTCGTCGCCAAACTCGTTTGCAACAGATCTGAGCCAGAGAGAGCGGAAAGCCTGTTGACGACGTTCGCGCTGGGCTTGCGAGTGCTGAGGCGACGATTTGGAGCGGCTGCCAGAGCGGGTTGTTGCGGAAGAGGCAGACTTGGCATCGACGATGCGCTGAAGGTGATCAGGGAGAGCGGGCGGGGATGGTTGCGCTTGGGTGACGACCCGTTGCATAAAGCTTGTCGACTTCCTTGTAGGGGTCGACTCGTCCTGACCGTGGTCCGGTTCCGGGCTGAGACGGAATACATGCTTGCGCTTAGCTGAAGAGGAGGATGCAGCTGTGTCATCGACATTCGTAGAATGAGTGCGTTTGCTTGCAGGCCTTCGGCCACGTCTTACAGAAGAGCTGCCGGATGAAGACGAGGAAGACGAGGACGATGAGGAAGCTGACGACGAGGATGAAGATGAGGAAGAAGATGAAGATGACGACGACGATGATGAAGATGAAGAGGAGGAAGAGGACGAAGCAGAAGACACTGAGTCGGCCCTCTGCCTCCGAGGCCTTTTCTTGCCCTGACCACGCTTGAGTGCCGTCGACGGCTCAGACTCTTCGCTACTGGACGACGAGGAGGAGTCGGAGGAGGACGAATCGGAGTCGTCGTCCGAGGAGACGGCCATGGTCCTCGTCTTCCTCTGGCGTCTCTTGCGAGGCTTGGCTGCCGCCGCATTACTTGTTCTCGGTTTGGCAGGCGCCATGTTGAATGCTCTGAGGCCAGGACGATACAGTTGTGCTTCGGGAAGGAAGCCGAGGTGGAGTTTCTGCGAAACTTTTGGTGGGTCCTACAACGATTCCTGCCTCTGACTCCCGAAGAAAGGGAAAGGGAAAACGAGAGCGCTTCTCGGACGAGACGAGTCGCGCTGAAGGACGCGTCGAGGTCATCTACGCGTCGGACGCGAGGCAGACGTGTAAATGAGGTTCGCGCAGATTCGCGCGTTTTGCTCGTTTCCTCGTGGGAGAGAGAGGGAGAGAAAAGCACACCGCGAACGCAGCACGCCAGCAGCAGAGTTGCTCCTCTCTGCGCGCCTGCTGACCCCTCACTTGGTGAGGAATCGCGCGCATGACCCGCAGTGGGTGTTGATTGGAATGCGCGAGAGGCGTTGGGCGATTTTGCTGAGCCTTCACCCAGTCCAATCAACACCTTCGCCGCGGGTCCTCCCTCCTCGTCTCTATCCACCATTCCCGCCACCATTCACGCCACTGGTCCATCGGCCTGCTTTTCTCGCTCGACGATAACATCCTCATTCCTTCAACGCCGTCTCGTATTGCCATCTCCCGCTGCAAGCTCTTACTCGGCATTCGATTCTGGGCTTCTCATCATCTTTGCGATCGAACGACAAGTCAGTGCACATCTGCGACCTTGTCCCACTTAGGTATCGCCGTCGAAAATGGTGAGTCCCGTTCGGAATACCTGGCGCTGTCATCTTCCAGTTCATACCGCTGACAATATCCTCTCCCTTCGCACCGATAGGCTGACCAGCAGAATAACGCTAATCGCAAGCGCCGTCGCCAGCAGCAAGGCGATCCATTCGATGCTTCGTCGCCACTCCCAGGCCCTTCCAATGCCAACACACCGGCACGCTCCTCGCCACCTCCCTCGTCCCTTCCTCCGTCCAGTCCGCCCGCCGCCTTCTCCGACTTCACCGATGGCGAGCTCGACGATGCCGACGTCGTCGACGAAGAACGCGAGGCGAGACAGCTCGGCGACCACTTCCAAGACAATGCAGACTCGGACGACGAAGGCGAGGACCTCTTTGGCGACAACATGGACAACGACTACACCGAGAACGCCGCTCTCGATCGCTACGACACCGCGCTAGGCATCGACGACGACAACCAATACGACCAGATGGACGCCAACGCACGCAGGCTCGCCGAACTCCGCATGAGCCGCCGCGATCGCACAGAGGCCGCCAACAAGGGCAGCCGATCTCGCGCTCCCGAGTTTCTCCACAGCGACGACGGCGCAAGCGATGCCGACGACGGCGTGGCCATCCTCAACCGTCGCAGACGTAGACACTACGACGAAACAGCAGCGGGCGCAGATGCGGCCGCGTTTGCCGACGACCTTCCGCTCGAGCAGCTCGGCGATGTCAAGACCGACAGCATCGCCAGCTGGGTCGCCACCGAAAACGTGCGCAGGGCCATCGTCCGCGAGTTCCGCAACTTCCTCGTCACCTACGTCGACGAAAACGGTGTCAGTGTCTACGGCCAGCGCATCAAGACGCTCGGCGAGACAAACGCAGAGTCGCTCGAGATCTCGTTCCTCCACCTCGTCGACTCCAAGGCCATCCTCGCCTACTTCCTCGCCAACTCGCCCGCCAGCATGCTTCCCATCTTTGACGAGGTCGCCTTCGACGTCATCATGCTCTACTACCCTTCCTACGACCGCATCCACTCCGAGGTGCACGTGCGCATCGCCGACCTGCCCACCTCATCCACCCTCCGCGATCTGCGCCAGGGCCATCTCAACTCGCTCGTGCGCGTCAGCGGCGTCGTCACCCGACGCAGCGGCGTCTTCCCGCAGCTCAAGTACGTCAAGTTCGACTGTCTCAAGTGCGGCGCCGTGCTCGGCCCCTTCTGGCAGGACGCCAACCAGGAGATCAAGATCAGCTACTGCTCCAACTGCGAGCAGCGCGGTCCCTTCCGCATCAACTCGGAGCAGACCGTCTATCGCAACTACCAAAAGATGACGCTGCAAGAGTCGCCCGGCAGCGTGCCTCCGGGTCGCCTGCCGCGCCACCGCGAGGTGATCCTGCTCTGGGATCTCATCGACTCGGCCAAGCCTGGCGAGGAGGTCGAGATCACCGGCGTATACCGCAACAACTTTGATGCCTCGCTCAACACCAAGAACGGCTTCCCCGTCTTTGCCACCGTGCTCGAGGCCAACCACATCGCCAAGCGCGACGACGCCTTTTCGGCATTCCGCCTCACCGAGGAGGACGAGCGCCAGATCAAGGCACTCGCCAAGGACGAGCGCATCGGCAAGCGCATCATCAAGAGCATCGCGCCGTCCATCTACGGCCACGAGGATATCAAGACCGCCATCGCGCTCAGCCTCTTTGGCGGCGTGCCCAAGGACATTGGCGGCAAGCACCGCATCCGCGGCGACATCAATGTGCTGCTGCTCGGTGACCCCGGTACGGCCAAGTCGCAGTTCCTCAAGTACGTCGAAAAGACCGCGTCGCGCGCCGTCTTCACCACGGGCCAGGGTGCTTCGGCGGTGGGTCTGACGGCGTCGGTTCGCAAGGACCCCGTGACGCGCGAGTGGACGCTCGAGGGCGGTGCGCTCGTGCTGGCCGACAAGGGCGTGTGTCTGATCGACGAGTTTGACAAGATGAACGATGCCGACCGCACCTCGATCCACGAGGCCATGGAGCAGCAGCAGATCAGTATCTCCAAGGCGGGCATCGTGACCACGTTGCAAGCGCGCTGTGCCATTGTGGCGGCTGCCAATCCGATCCGCGGCCGATACAACCCCACGATTCCCTTCAACCAGAACGTCGAGCTGACCGAGCCGATTCTGTCGCGATTCGACGCGCTATGCGTAGTCAAGGACACGGTGGATCCGGTCAAGGACGAAATGCTGGCGCGCTTTGTGGTGGGCTCGCATCTGCGCTCGCATCCCAAGTTTGACGACGAGACCGACGAGCAGCTGGTGGCTACGTCGCTCGATGCGGATATTCTGCCGCAGGACATGCTGAGAAAGTACATCATGTATGCGCGAGACCACCTGCGTCCGTCGCTGAATGCGCTCGACCAGGACCGTATCTCGCGCCTCTATGCGGATCTGCGTCGCGAGTCGATCTCGACGGGCAGCTTCCCCATCACGGTGCGTCACCTGGAGAGCATGATCCGCATGGCCGAGGCGTCGGCCAAGATGCATCTGCGCGACTATGTGCGCACGGACGACATTGACGTGGCCATCCGCGCAACGGTCGAGTCGTTTGTGTCTGCGCAAAAGATGAGCGTCAAAAAGACGCTCGAGCGCGGATTCCGCAAGTACCTGCATCAGAGCCGCGATCACGACGAGCTGCTCTCGTTCCTGCTCGGCTCGATCGTCAAGGACCGCATGCGCTTCGTGCAGCTCTCTGCCGGCGCGCGTCGTGGTGCGCAGGGCGATACGGTGGTGACCGTTCCCGTCGCCGAGCTCGAAACCCGCGCCAAGGAGGTCGACGTGTTTGACATCCGGCCTTACCTCGGCTCGAAACTCTTCCACGCCAACGGCTACACGTTCAACGCTGCCGACCGCTCCATCACCAAGACCTTTGGCGCCAAGCGCACCGGCTTTTTTGGGGGGGGGGGGGAAGC